TACTTAACCATATACATAAGTACATGAGGAGGTGCATATAATTGTGTGTGACTGTGCATATTCTTACGCACCCTACTTTATAAGTCAAGACTTTATTTGACGACATAACTATATATTTTTAAATACGAAATAAGACTTTATTTTGTACTAGAACTATGGCTACGACCGAAGCTATAATATCCTTCATAAAGGGTATAAAGATATCTTTATCTTAATTTTGGATAATCAGTTTGTATGGCAGCTATATGCTATAGTGTTTCGATCTGTGCAATTTTTTCGGAGGTAGCAGGGTTGCCATGGATAATAGCCTAACCAAAATTTCATGAAGATATCTTGTAAAATACAATAGTTTTCCATACAAGAACTCAAGTTTGAACGATCAGTTTGTATGACCACCATATGCTATTGTAGTCCAATGTGCATAATTTCTTTGGAAATTGTGGCGTTGTTGTAAAATAAAATTGTTTCCCTTACAAGAACTCGATTTTGACCGGTAAATTTGTATGGTAGCCATAAGCTACAGTGGACCGATCTCAACAAATTATGCGGAGAATGTGGCGTTTCTTGGATAAAAGCGTTGAAATAATTTGTCCCACATTTTGTGAAGATATCTTGTAAAACAAAATAGTTTTCCATACAAGGACTCGATTTTGATCGGYCAGTTTGTATGGCAGCTATATGCTATAGTGTAGTTCCGACAAATGAGCAGCTTYGATAGAAGCAAAGGCAGTGTGCAAGATTTCAGATCGATAACTCAAAAACTAAGGGGATTATAGCCCCTTACAGAGGTGCAAACAAGCTGAGCATTTACAAATATATTTTACATGGTAACGGACGCGTTTACTTATGGGTGTCCAAACATCGTAAAACACTCAGCGCACAAATATACACTATTCCCTCAAGTTAGAAATTTTTAGACTTATCGGCTGACTACTGTCCATTTTTTATGCATCCCATCCATTGCATGCACCCCYAATGACCAATTAGAAAACCGTTTGCAAACCGTTGTAATTCTATCTTTTGGCCGTTTTAAAATTTATTGCTGACAAATTGCACACAGCAAGTTAAGCAACGATATATGCTTTACTCAACATAGACACAGACGCATGCGCGTTTTCAATGCAGCCCACAAAACATGGTGGGGGGCAACAAATACATATGTTCATATGTATATATGTATGTATGTATATATTAGGTATTTCCGTGTGCAAAATTTATTAGCAACTAATCGGGCGCWTTTGCTAGCAACAACTATGCGTGAACGCAGCGGCAACATATTGAAACTGAAAACCCAAATAAAAGCGAAACCCTCGCTTCGGCTGCCAAGCAGTAGAGATATTCGATTTAATTCCTGGAAACGCCTCAAGTTGAGCGCATAAAAAACGAAGAGTGGAGCAACGCTGAGAAGCGCAGCGTAAGGATCTAAACAAAAAGCCGCCGCAACAAGCAAAACCAAGAACAAGAAGACTCGCAACAAATCAAAAATAAATAAGAGCAACAAAAATTATATATGTACATATATAAGTATCGGTATACATATGTATGTATGTATAAACAAAAAAAAATCCGAAAAAGTGTGTCTGAACAGCAGTTGCATTCACAGCAGYAGCAGCAAAACTGACGTTGGCACCGTAAGCTAACAACAACAACACGTTGACTTTTGGGGAAAAAGAAACTGTTGTTGTAGCTTGTTGTATTAGCGCTATTGCCTAATGCTTTTGCTTTCATTTAGATTGCTTGCGATGCGCTTTAACCTTGACAATTTTTTGCAGCATCTCCAGAGTTTATTTTTTTGTTGTTTGCTTTTGGTCCACTTCTTTTTGGGGCACGCACGCATCTTAGARCGGCTTATGTTGCGATGCTCTATGCTCCATCGCGCCGCAATTCCAGGAAATTGCAGGTGACTACATTCAAATGCTTTTTACTGTTGCTTTTATTGCCGTTGTTGTTGTTATTATGCCATGTTGCACAGGTATGCAAGCTAGCGAGCGGTTTCGTTGACGCTTGCGCTCTGTTGCGGCTGAAACTGAAGTTGAATTCAACCGTTTCACTTTGAGGGGCGTACGCAGGGGCGAATTGCGGTGTTGCGGATGCGTTTCCGCGAATTTGTTCAATCATTAGAAAGCAAATTCTCAAATTCGTAATTCATAGCTTGCTGTTGTGTGSCAAGTGAAGTCAGTCGAATGCGGTGTAGCGAATTGGAAGTTGTTGCAGTTTTTATGTTCAGTGTGCAAGTGATAGGAATAAAGTAGAGAATTTCTACTTCAATACAGGGTGATTTAGGKAGGATGAAATTTTTTTACAAATAATTATTAAATTAATAAATTGGTGCATATAATACTCGAGTGACATTTGAAGAAAATTATCGATAAATCTGGTATCGTAAAGGACCAATGGACCTGATGGATATAACCTTATAATAAAACATTGAGAACCATTTCACCTTTAAAGCGTAATATGAAAAGAAATAATAAAAAAAACACGTATTTTTTAAATTATTTTTTTT